ACTATCCTCCCAATCAAATTCGCCTCTGACCTTGCGACCTTGCGATATGAAAGCGACCACCAATGGTCTGGGTGCTATCGGTGGAGAACGCCTGATTTCTACCGTGATTGGTTAAAGAAGCTGCAAAGCATGTATTTGAATCGATGTTATCGTACTTCTTGTCATCATTTTTGGGTTAGATCGCCCAAGTAATTGTCTGGAGCTGTAGGCGCATCGGAATGATTGTGGTAGGCCGGCACCAAGTAATTTCCCAATCCGTTTTGATTCTTTTCTTTTGAATAGGGGTTTAAATGGATTTTGAATGCACGCAGGTAGGCGTCAGTGTTGAATACGGATGTTGACAGTGATGACGTTGATGATGAAGTTAACGATGCTGAGGATGATAACGATGATGATGATGCTGGTGGCTCTCCTGAACGCCTTCGTCTCAATACACCTGTCGAAATGAACCAATATCTCAGTGGTGTTCATGCTGTCAGTTTCTATCCAGATAGACTGACTGCATCTCGAATGTGTGGGGAATCTCGGGTGTATGTCGTAGGCTATGCCCAGGTTTTTCTTCCCCTTCCACCATCCACTGATTTTCCACTACAAATAATTTTAATGCTTGTACGGCAGTGAATCATCAGTGTTACCTCTGTTGTTGCTCTGGGTGATGATGACGATGCTGATGCTGATGATGATGCTGGTGATTCGGATGATGGTGATGGTGATAATGATGACGGCGATGATGATGATAAGGATCGAAAGATGCGTTTTGTGTGCATGTATGGTGTCCAGGAACAACGGAGTGCTCAATAACTCACCAGCAGTATGTGTCGTTCCGTACCTCGGTTGTCTCAACTCTTGGTGGTTTCACGGCATTGCCCACACTGGATCCCCTTATAGTTGCGTAACCTGGTCTCTCTGCTTCACTCAGCTCCCCTCTGTCATTATCTTTCACCCGTGTGCAGAAAGACATAAAAAAGCGTACACTGAAGGAACAATACGAGGCGGTGAAAAGGAAGACGGTGTTAAGTCACGTGATGAAATACGGTGACATGGTGAGTCAT